TTATGCATGCTGGGACTGACTGTGAAAACTGGGTTTTTCTAGATCTCATGGGTCTTATGAGCTGTATAGGTTTCCAAGAGATCTGGGGAAAAAAACAACAAATGACTAAATACACAGGCACCTAAAAATTTCAAAAATCACTTAAAATTTCTACTAGCTCTGAGATTCCACTACTGTCCAAACTCACATAAGGGTTAATATCCAAACTAATTTGTTCAAATGATATTAGCAGAAAAGAGCTCCAAATCCCAGATGATACAAATTATATATCTGATACCTGATAAAGGTCTAGTATCCAGAATATATGCATATGAAAATATGGTCATCATTAGTTATTAGGGAAATATAAATCAAAACCACAAGATACCACTTCATACCCAATAGTTCAGCTACTATTAAAAAACAGAAAATTACAAGTGTTGGCCAAGATGTGGAAAACTGGAATTCTCATCCATTGCTCGTGGGAATGTAAAATGGTGCAGCCACTTTGGAAAACAATTTAGCAGTTCCTCCAAAGGTTAAACATACAGTTGCCACAGGACCAGCAATTCCACCTCAGGTATGTACCCAAAAGAAATGATAATAGAGATTCAAATGATTACATGTATGCCAAAGTCCCCTGCAGCACTATTCAAAATAGCCAAAATGTATAAATGACCCTAATGTCCATGGATACATGGATAAACAAATGTGGCATATGCTACAACATGGATAAATCTTGAAAACATTATGCTAAGTGAAATAAGCCAGACACCAATGGACAAACATTGTATGATTCCATGAACGTGAGATCTAGAAGAGGCAAATTCATAAAGACAGAGATAAGAGATTAAAAGGGTTTGGGGATCAAGGAATAGGTAGTTACTGCTTAATGAGAAGAGTTTCTGGCTAGGCACGGTGGCTCATGCCTGTAATGCCAGCACTTTGGGAGGCCGAGGTCAGGCAGCTCACTTGAGGTCAGGATTCAAGACCTGCCTGTACAACATAGTGAAACTCTGTCTCTACTAAAAAAAAAAAAAAAAAAAAAAACAAAAGTTAGCTGGGCGTGGTGGTGCATGCCTGTAATCCTGGCTTACTCAGGAGGCTGAGAGGCAGGAGAATCACTTGAACCCATGAGATGGAGTGGAGATCATGCCACTGCACTTCAGCCTGGGCTCAAAAAAAAAAAAAAAATTCTGTTCGAGTGTTGAATATGTTTTTGGAAACAGAGGTAAATGGTGGCAGAACAACCATTTTAACATAATTGTACACTTAAAAATGGCGAAAACGGCAATTTTTATGCCACTTATAAGCATATATATTTTTTACAATTTAAAAAAGAAGTAGTTAATGTGCAGCTACTTTGAAAGATAATTTGGTAGTTTTTTTTTTTGTTTTTTTGAGATGAAGTCTCGCTCTGCCCCCAGGCGGGAGTGCAGTGGTGCTCTCAGCTCACTGTAACCTCTGCCTACTAGGTTCAAGCGATTCTTCTGCCTGAG